GCTGTCATGAAGGTGTTTAGGTAGAGCATTACATAGTTCTGCACAACATTTGATGATTTTATCTTTAGTAGTAACAAGATGGAAGAATTATTACATGAGGGTTCTGAGGGCAGGCGTTAGTATTTCTTGGTTGTTGAACATCAATATTTAGTGTGCACCTTTGATAATGTCTTTTGAGTCGTGTTAGGCCTGTCAGCAAAATCCATCAGGAGCTTTTTATATGTATGAGTTGAGTTGTTGGATGGTGTGTTTGTGCTCTATGGATGTGGGTGGTGTATTGTGTGGATGGTGTGTGAGGTGTGGATGTGTGTTTGTGTTGTATGGATGTGTGTGGTGGGTTGCGCATCCTCATGTGTTGTGATTGTTGTGTTGTGTGTGGTGTATTGTGTGGATGGTGTGTGAGGTGTGGATGTGCGTTTGTGTTGTATGGATGTGTGTTTGTGTTGTATGGATGTGTGTGGTGGGTTGCGCATCCTCATGTGTTGTGTGATTGTTGTGTTGTGTGTGGTGTATTGTGTGGATGGTGTGTGAGGTGTGGATGTGTGTTTGTGTTGTATGGATGTGTGTGGTGGGTTGCGCATCCTCATGTGTTGTGTGATTGTTGTGTTGTGTGTGGTGTATTGTGTGGATGGTGTGTGAGGTGTGGATGTGTGTTTGTGTTGTATGGATGTGTGTGGTGGGTTGCGCATCCTCATGTGTTGTGTGATTGTTGTGTTGTGTGTGGTGTATTGTGTGGATGGTGTGTGAGGTGTGGATGTGCGTTTGTGTTGTATGGATGTGTGTGGTGGGTTGTGCATCCTCATGTGTTGTGTGATTGTTGTGTTGTGTGTGGTGTATTGTGTGGATGGTGTGTGATGTGCGGATGTGCGTTTGGATGATGTGTGTGTGGTTTGGTGTGTTTGTGTGTTATGTAGTGTTTTTGTGTGGTGTGTTTGGATGTGTGTTGTGTGTTCCATTGTGTGTTGTGTGTTCCATTGTGTGGTGAAGGTGTGGATTTGTGTTGTGATATTGGTTGTGTGTGTGAATGTGTTAGGTAATTGGATGAGTCTTAGTGTGGTATGCAGCTAACAAGTTGAGCAGTTTGACAGCAAGGTAGAATAGCTTGTGTCTCCCCATGGTAAGATTATACCTGCCTTTGCATCTCTAAGTAGGCAATAGGCAACTCAACACAATGAATATTGCTCTGGAATAGTGAAAGCACAGTCGGTTTATTTTGAATTGAATTTACAATGAGATATCAGTGGTACATTTTTCAGAAACATCAAAGTTTACAGATCAAGAATTTTCACAGGGCAATCAACATTATGACAAATGATTTTGTGTGCGCACAAAACGTTAGATGAGGCACAGCTTGTCAATAGCCAATCAAGACTGTCACTGATGCAGCAATGTGGAACTGGGGCTATTAATCTGTGCTGGTCTGTAATTTAGACTGACAGCATGTCATCAACAGGGTTCGAGAATGTGAGGCATGTCTTGTGGGGGATAAGTGTCCCGTGTCCCAGTTACCTGCTACTTTGGGGGGGAGGGGGAGGGGGGGGGGGGGGGGGGGGGGGGAATTGAAGAGATAAAATCAGGAGGAATACCATGGAATAACCAAATGAGACAAAATCATGAAATGTCGATGGGGCAGATGGTAGCTGCAAGGGGGGTATGGAGAGATTGAGGGGTATGGAGGGATTTAGGGGCTCAAATGGTTGACAAGACAAAACAGTTTAAATTGACAAAGCAACATATGGAGTCTGTTAGAAAACTTGGATATTACAGAAGCAGATGTGATTCTGAACGAATCTGGTCCTACCAGTTCAGTCAGCTCATGAACTCAGTTCAGCGACTCGGTAACAGGAGGGCGACTTGGTATCAGTTCAGTGGCTCGGTTACAGGAGGGCGACTTGGTATCAGTTCAGCGACTCGGTAACAGGAGGGTGACTTGGTATCAGTTCAGTGACTTGGTTACAAGAGGGCGACTTGGTATCAGTTCAGCGACTAGGTTACATGAGGGCGACTTGGTATCAGTTCAGTGGCTCGGTTACAGGTCTCCGACTTGGTATCAGTTCAGTGACTTGGTATCAGCTCAATGACTGTATCAGTTCAGTGGCTCGGTTACAGGATGGTGACTTGGTATCAGTTCAGTGGCTGGGTAACAGGACGGCGACTTGGTATCAGTTCTGTGACTCGGTTACAGGAGGGCGACTTGTTATCAGTTCAGCGACTAGGTTACATGAGGGTGACTTGGTATCAGTTCAGTGACTCAGTAACAGGACGGCGACTTGGTACCAGTTCAGTGACTTGGTATCAGCTCAATGACTGTATCAGTTCAGTGGCTTGGTTACAGGAGGGCGACTTGGTATCAGTTCAGTGACTCGGTTACAGGAGGGTGACTTGGTATCAGTTCAGTGGCTCGGTAACAGGGCGGCGATTTGGTATCAGTTCAGCGACTCGGTAACAGGGCGGCGACTTGGTATCAGTTCAGTGGCTCGGTTACAGGAGGGCGACTTGGTATCAGTTCAGTGGCTCGGTAACAGGGCGGCGACTTGGTATCAGTTCAGCGACTCGGTAACAGGGCGGCGACTTGGTATCAGTTCAGTGACTCGGTTACAGGAGGGCGACTTGGTATCAGTTCAGTGACTCTGTTACAGGAGGGCGACTTGGTATCAGTTCAGTGGCTCGGTTACAGGAGGGCGACTTGGTATCAGTTCTGTGGCTCGGTTACAGGAGGGGGACTTGGTATCAGTTCAGTGGCTCGGTTACAGGAGGGCGACTTGGTATCAGTTCAGTGGCTCGGTAACAGGGCGGCGATTTGGTATCAGTTCAGCGACTCGGTAACAGGGCGGCGACTTGGTATCAGTTCAGTGGCTCGGTTACAGGAGGGCGACTTGGTATCAGTTCAGTGGCTCGGTAACAGGGCGGCGACTTGGTATCAGTTCAGCGACTCGGTAACAGGGCGGCGACTTGGTATCAGTTCAGTGACTCGGTTACAGGAGGGCGACTTGGTATCAGTTCAGTGACTCTGTTACAGGAGGGCGACTTGGTATCAGTTCAGTGGCTCGGTTACAGGAGGGCGACTTGGTATCAGTTCTGTGGCTCGGTTACAGGAGGGGGACTTGGTATCAGTTCAGTGGCTCGGTTACAGGAGGGCGACTTGGTATCAGTTCAGTGGCTCGGTTACAGGAGGGGGACTTGGTAAACATGTTGACTTCCGATGCCCTGGATACTAAACTACATGTCATCTCATCTGGTGTAGCCTCTAACATACATACTGCATTCCTCACAACTGGTTAGCTTAATTATATACTGACTGATGACAACTGCTGATAGTGCAGATGCAACTTTGATATTTGAAGATAAGGCTTGGTTGTAGCTTAAAGATGGCAAATTTAAGGGATTGGGCTTCTATTTGGGAACTTGTAAATACTTGTGAAATTCTTTATGTCCATGGGAAATGCCAAGTAAATAATGAAGAAATACTTGTGCCTTTTCTTATCAAAAGTGTTGATAAAATAATTACAGTATCTCGCTCACCACTGTATATCAGCAGGTATTTAAAGCTTCCTGAAGTTTGCCGTGTCTGATTTCAAATTGGCAGACATGTTAGTGCAGGTTGAGGAAATGTGGCATTCTTTCAAGGACTTTTGGCACTAGAGTTAATGATCTGTTTTGGAAGTTTGAAATAGCTGGTGTTTATTTATGTTATAGCGATACAACATCTGGTAAAAAACCCACAGAATTATCCTATAGTGTAGTGCAACTCCAGTATAGTATGGAGCAGAGTACAGCGCATTTGAAAATATTGTTCTGTTGTTAGTGTATGAGATATGGTCATGTTTTGACTCTATGGCTGTAGAAAAATACTTGTGAGAATACCTGAAGTTGCAAGGCAGCTTTGGTCGTTATCCCAAAGAAGAGCCAATCTTCTTGTAGTGTAGGGATTCCAAACTAGGCCCCCAATAAGCCATGCTTGTCTCCATGTAGGGATTAATTCTCAGAATAGGCCCCCAGTACCTCCTGTTGGGTTTCCAAGAAAGTACAGTTCCCAGTATCCCATGCTTGTCCCCATGTTGAGATTCAGGGCAGAATAGGCCCCGAATACCCCATGCTTGTCTCCATGTGGGGATTCCAGGGCAGAATAGGTCCCCAGTACCTTATGCTTGTCTCTATGTGGGGATTCCAGGGCAGAATAGGCCCCCAGTACCCCATGCTTGTCTCCATGATGCCATTCCAGGGCAGAATAGGCCCCCAGTGCCCCATGCTTGTCTCCATGTTGCCATTCCAGGGCAGAATAGGCCCCAAGTACCTCCTGTTGGGATTCCAAGACAGTACAGGTCACTTGTATCCAATGCTTCTCTTCAGAGTAATATCAGCAGTGTTAACTGCAATTATGTATTGTTTGTATCTGTGGAAGATAGTGAAGTCTTGAAGTTCTTGGGACCTCTAGGGACCAGTATATAACTGTATTGCTGATATGAAGGGCTCTAAAGGGTCATGTGGGCGATAGGGTAGCCCAGTGGGTAAAGTGTTCACTCATCATGCCAAATGTCTGTGTTTGGTTCCCCACTAGGGTACAATGAGTGAAGAGAAATTCTGGTGTTCTCCTCTGTGACATTGCTGGAATATTGCCCAAACTGTCATAGGACCATACTCCTTTACTTTCTAACTGAAGGGTATAACTGAAGGGTGTAACTGAAGGGTATAATGACTGAAGGGTATAACTGAAGGGTGTAACTGAAGGGTATAACTGAAGGGTGTAACTGAAGGGTATAACTGAAGGGTGTAACTGAAGGGTATAACTGAAGGGTGTAACTGAAGGGTATAACTGAAGGGTGTAACTGAAGGGTGTAACTGAAGGGTGTAACTGAAGGGTATAACTGAAGGGTATAACTGAAGGGTATAAAGTAACATCTTAGGATGATGCTGGTCTGGATTTATCTTTTTCAGAGTATTTAACTCTTCTTAAGATAGGTATTTGAAGATTTTACTTATTTTTCCTATTCAAATTTCAGGTATAGTCCGGGGCGTGGACATATCTTTCAATGACCCGAAAGATGGCTTCTTCCTCAAGTCAACGTATCAGAAGCTCCGGACGAAGGATCCGCGGGTGACGGAAAAGGAGGCGTTTATCGTGACTCATCCTTCAGAGCTATACAAGCTCCGGGTCCACCATGGACCATTCGAGGTGTACCAGTCTGTACCGGACGCACTGCTGGAAGAAGCCCGGAGCGAGGGCGAGAACCTCAACCTCATGCACAGACAGATCTTGTACAACACTGACATGAGTGCACATATTGTCACAGACAGACTCACACCCAAATGGTCACTTTTACAGGTACTGGTGCATGCACAGCCTTTTGGTAGTCGGAAAGCTGACGGAATGTACAATGTTTATGGGTATGATCAGCAATGGTGTGGTCAGATGTTTGTGGAGCATCAGCACCAACAGCTGTCAGCAGTGTGCGTTCTCAGTGAGAGGGACAGTGTGTGTGTGATGGGCATTGAGCTTCCGTCGGATTGGTGGCACCATAATGACACTGATGTGTCTGTGTATTACCACGTCTCCCGAGTCGGCGCCAACCATGAATGTGCCAGTGCATCCAACTCCATCGTACCAGGACGCTCCATGTCGGGCAATACCGATCAGAAAAAGACCTTCATTGCAACGATTCGTTTGGCAGAAAAGGAATACAACTACGAAATACGAAAGGATCAGAATCTTATATTTCACGTACCAACACAGGATTTCTTTCCAGCGGCCAAGTTTGATGTTCCCGTGTACCTGGATACCGGCTCAAAACTTCAAGTGATTGTCATCAAGTAAGTAAAACAAGGGTTCCCCTTCACAAGGCTGGCTATCAACGCCCTGAAGATCTGGGCTATGATTGGTCTGTAGCAACCAATGCTTGTCTTTTAAGAGGCGACTATGGGATCACAAGGCTATCAACGCCCTGAAGATCTGGGCTATGATTGGTCTGTAGCAACCAATGCTTGTCTTTTAAGAGGCGACTATGGGATCACAAGGCTATCAACGCCCTGAAGATCTGGGCTATGATTGGTCTGTAGCAACCAATGCTTGTCTTTTAAGAGGCGACTATGGGATCACAAGGCTATCAACGCCCTGAAGATCTGGGCTATGACTGGTCTGTAGCAACCAATGCTTGTCTTTTATGAGGCGACTATGGGATCAGTCAATCAGGCTCGCTGACTTGGTCGATGCATGTCATTGTGACCCAATTGCGGAGATCGATGCTCATGATGTCAATCACTGGATTGTCTGGTCCAGATTAAGTTATTTACAGACTGACGTCGTATAGCTGGAATATTGCTGCCATTATTTCCATATGACTATTTTAATGACTTTAGAACATATGACATATCTGCATAGATTAGAAAAAAATCTCTAAGAAGACTTATCAATGAATAAGTTTATTAAGGAAATTTGCTAATTTCAGTGGAATAGTTGCAGCAAAAGTGAAGCAATCGCCATGAAAATCAAATATGCTACTCAACATACTATGTTTTGCTCTGGTTTGGGTCTTTGCCTATGCTTTCAGTGTTAGATAGTGTTTTCTCATTCACACTTTTGTAAGTGATTGTAAGTAAGTGTGAGAGTCAAGGGGTAATCTTTAAAGGTAAGAATTTTGAGGATCTCTACATTCAAATACTATAGGAGCACACCTCAAAGATCCCACCTTAAGTTGGAACACTGCTTGTGAAGGAATTCATTGTTATGGCATGTGTGTGTCTTGGCATTACGGGGTAGACATCATTGGTCATATCCAACTAGTGGTTACCGTATTCGACGTAATAAGCGCCCAGGGCGCTCTCAAAATTAGCAATAGGGGGCTCTTATTAGAATATTATTTTGGTGGAAAAAACAGAGTTGAAAGATAAATTTTGTGGTTTAAGCTGACAACCTGAAATGTTTATGTACGACAGATATATTTTTCCAGAATTATATTGCCCATAATTAAGGGTGCATATAACACACGAGTGTGTATCATACGCGAATAAATAAGTCTTGTGTACATTGATCAGTTGGAAGGGGTGCTAATTGGGATTGTTCACTTGCCAATATATTAGCAAATATTGCCCTGGGAGCTTATTACGTTGAATACGGTATGTCAAATATCTAGAGTTCAGGATGAAACAACTAGTCTTGAACAAATGGGCTAGTGGCTGTGTCTATCTCTGTATCATTGCATCATTGTATCACGATGTCACTCTCGACCAAAGATGTGGCGAAAGAAGGTACATGATACTGACCGTTAATTCAAACATAATTCAAAGCCTTTAAGAAAGTCCCTGTGTCAGGAAATAAGAACCTTCTTAAAAAGTTAATTTGTATGTTATCGCGTGATGAAAACATGCTTTTGAAATTACATTTAAATGTCTATTTTCAGTGCAGTCATTAACTCCATGATGAGATCTTATCTTACAGAAGTGGCTCAATGTAATTGAAAAGTCAGCAGTTTGTGCTCAGTATTCAATAGCAGTGTTGTGAAAGTGGGCTTGTCAAGATGGTTGACATGAAAATTGAAGCAGTTATCTTTGATGGTTATGCTGTAAGATAAATGAGGGGCAAATTGACCATGTTCGTGTGGGATAATAATGATTGGTTGTAATTGAGCCAATTTCAGTATGTCTGCAGTGTATTGGCGGAGACCTTTTTGTTAGGCCATTCTTCTAGAAAGTGATCCAGTGTTGGAGATAAGCCTGGGAAAGGTTATGCAAACCAAGTTGTTCTGTGAATATGGAGGCATGTGTTTATCAAACGATTTCCCATCTCACTTCAAACACGGCCAGTGCTATCAACAACCGTCTCCCCGCAATACTGTCAAAAAAACAAACCAATTTACAAACCGTATAAAAAAATACCCAGTCTCGCAAACCTTAGAAATATAACTCCTAGTTGGACAATACCGGCTGTACCTGAGACTTGAGGTATATGAGGTCTTATACCCCGGGCTTTGAAGACAAACTACAATTACTGACGGCAAGCTTTTGGGCAAATCCTGTAGGTTTAGAGCACTGGGAAGAGTGGGGCCTACAATGGCTGGGGTTAGCTGTTGTTTACTGTATGTGATCTCCGTCTGATAGGTAAGACAAGCGAACCCTCGAAGCAGACGACTGGAGTTAGTTAATGGCTGTTCCATGCTGAAGTTCAGTTGGGTAGGATAAACCACGAGCGGAGTGTAAACAGCTATCTTTTGATTGGGACAGTTTCTTGTATGGTTCCATTTGAGCCAGTTATTCATGTTTGTCAGATGCTGGTGTTGAATAACACCGCAGTAGGACATACCGAAATATTGCTATCAATCAATAATTCATAACCATGTGTCACGGCACTGTGTGACATTCTTGTGGGTTTTCAAGCAGACAGATTTTATCTCTGTGGTGAAAAAACTCATTTATTATTGTGAGTGAGTGAGTGAGTGAGTATGATTCTACACACCCTTGACTACCTGAAACATCAACAGGGAAAATAAGTACATCTTGAAATGCCGATCTTTGAAAAACATAAATACAGTAAGCTACAGTCATATCAAACTCAAAGGGAACCGAGCCAAGTCTTATGTTAATGTGTGGGAGTTACAGTAATCTTGGCGCTATGATCGCTTTGTTGAATGGGGCCCAGGCCATCTCCATCTTCACTTTATTTTGGTAACTTTGTTAGCTAGTTTATTACTTAATATTATTCGTTATTAGCTAGTTTATTACTTAATATTATTCGTTATTAGCTAGTTTATTACTTAATATTATTCATTATTAGCTATGTTTATTACAGTGAATTAGATGCCGCTTTTCATCATCTACTGATGTGCATGTTGAGCAGAGTCTTAACATGACAATGTCATAGAGGTGAAATGAGATATCGGTGCAATGGAAGTTTTCATGCGATGATACGATACATGATAGGTTTTTTTCGGTATCAATACAAGACAAGACACTTGCTAAAATACATTACTACTCATTTAATGACCCCTAAGCGTTTTTGAACCTGTCCTGAAATATTTATGGTCAAGAAATATCCACGCGATTTGCATAACATGATACGTATCGTATCATGACCTATCTAAGTGATACGTATCGTATCATGACCTTGCTGTATCGTTTCACCCCCTAAAATGTATGGGTAGAGTGTGTGTGGTAGGCATACATCAGTAGGGTTACAATGAGCCACCAGTAGTTCAGTGTGTGGTATGGGGTACTGTCATATCCCCCAGTTTGACTAAATGCCATGTGACATTTTGGAGAGGGATATGAAACAGATATGTGTAAACCCCTCAACCCTCCTGTCACTACACCTCACAATCGAGTAGTACATTCAAAAAACAATTACCGCTTTATTGACTCATGTGAAAAAAGAAAGAAACCAAGAATGTTTGGTGAGGAAAAAAATTGAAAATGATGATATAATATTTCCTGCTTTAGTGCCAGTGGATTGCATGTATAGACAGGTATATGCGTCGGGGACGGTGTGAGGGTAGCATATCACTGGTGTAGTACCAGCTCTGCGGGACTACTTGATAGTGTTGAAGTAGCACCCGGACTGTCCTGGTAGTGAGGGCTTTGTTGACTCGTGAGTATAGGATGACAGTTTCGGAAAGTGCTGGGCAGGGCATGGTGTGAAGTGGAGTAGGAGGATTTGTGAGAGCTCTGGCGGGAGGGATCCAAGCTTATTGTGATGGTTCTTAAACCTTTCAGAATCTTAAAAAGAACATAGCTGTTCTGGGGTTTGTTTGTAGGACTGGGAGTTTGGGAACTTGTTATAATGGTTCTTAAATCTTTCAGAATCTTAAAAAGAATATGGTTGTTCTGGGGTATGTTTGTAGGACTCGAAGCTGTGGGAGCATGTTCTAATGGTTCCTTAAACCTTTCTGAATCCTAAAAAGAATATGGTCATTCTGGGGTATGTTTGTAGGACTCGGAGCTGTGGGAGCTTGTTATAATAGTTCCCTAAATCTTTCAGAATCTTAGAAAGATTATGGTCATTCTGGGGTATGTTTGTAGGACTCGGAGCTGTAGGAGCTTGTTATAATAGTTCCCTAAATCTTTCAGAACCTTAAAAAGAATATGGTTGGCCTGGGGTATGTTTGTAGGACTTGGAGTTGTGGGAGCATGTTCTAATGGTTCCTTAAACCTTTCAGAATCCTAAAAAGAATATGGTTGATCTGGAGTATGTTTGTAGGACTCAAAGCTATGGGAGCTTGTTGTAATAGTTCCTTAAATCTTTCAGAATCCTAAAAAGAATATGGTTGTTCTGGGGTATGTTTGTAGGACTGGGAGCTATGGGAGCTTGTTGTAATAGTTCCTTAAATCTTTCAGAATCCGAAAAAGAACATGGTTGTTCTGGGGTATGTTTCTGGGACTCAATGGGAAGCTTTTTGTTATGGTTCCTGCAGCCTTTCAGAATCTTAATAAGGCTTTTTGGCTTGTCAGCACCATACCTGTACCCATAGACCCTGCATCAACCACTGGTTCATAGCATGAGCAACAATTTGTCACAACATTAGACCAAGTCTCTCATTGTAACTGCCCTTTTCACGTTTTGGTTGGTTTTATCCTGAACTTTGGATTTGAGGGATATTCTTGAAGTACCTGAGAATAATAACAGAGTTTGTATGTGAGAATCATAAAGGAGTCTATTACCATATTCCCTTATACCACCCCGACTCTCCAAACTTGCCAGATCAGATCAGTCTTTAAGTAATCTTAATAAGCTCCCATGTATAAAACCAAACAATTAACTTGATAATACAACATTTTAAGCAGATATTACACTTATTTTCACACAAATCAGCAATGCAAAAGGGATGTATAATAGCCTTGTAACTGTTATTGACAAGGTTATAATCACCTGGACAGAGCCATAACATTAGTTATTACTACATGACATGAATGGGGAATTTGTAATTCCAATTGGGGAGGGGCGGTTGGGTAGCCTAGTGGTTTAAGCGTTTGCTCGTCACGCTGAAGACCCGGGTTCGATTCCCTACATGGGTACAATGTGTGAAGCCCATTTCTGGTGTCCCCCGCTGTAATATTGCAGGAATATTGCTAAAAGCGGCGTAAAACCATACTCACTCACTCACTCACTCCAATTTACTGACACTTGCTGCAGACTTGGTGCCGAAATATCCCGCCTTGGAGCCGTTTTAGATAACCCCTGAGGGTGGATGGCAAAGTTTTTATATATTATTACATACATTTTAGTTGGAAAAGACAGTTGAAGCTGTGCTTGTCATGTAAGTTATATTAATGACAATAAAATGTCAGGGTCACAACAAAGATAGAGTGTTGGTCAAACAAGTTTCCTTGTATGGGAGTATTAGCATGACAGGGGTTGTAATTTACACCGCACCCATGACCTGAGTGAAAGATACAGTAGTGTTTCGCCATTATTCAGGTTGCTAGAGGTAACCTCATCCACTCTTGAAGGATTGTCTGTCAAGGGAGCACGAAAAAATATGACAGGGTTAATGCAGCTACGTGTAACAATATAGCTGAACACCATCTTTTTTGAATCTAGGTCACCATACTCTTGAATTCACACTGAATCAACGTGAATTTAACGCTCAACATCTCCCATGAGGCAATCAAATTCTGAAACTTTAGAAAATTCTGTCATTTCATTTTGTACTTTATCAACACAAGTGCAAATTTGTAGTCTGTAGAGATACGTTTGGTGCGAACAACAGCCTATGTGCCACCTCACTGACCACTGTGTTCATCCATCTGTGAAAGCAAGACCGCTGGCAAAGTAGTTCCACAGCATGATTTATTCCAAACTCGTGGGTATTTTGTCCCGGAGGCAAATGGGAAGATTTTATCGCTGGCAAAAATTGTGGGCATAAAGAATGTTGTCCTATCACATGTTGTTTAGTGTTGGAAGTCTGGAGTGGTGAAATTGGAATGATAATATGTTCGACTTGACTTCCATTAGAGCTATACACCATCTGATGGTTATTAAACAGAGAAATCCTCTTAAGGACTCAAACTTAAACTGTTGCCATGGAAACTTCATATTTACACTTTCACAAATGACTTAATCAAATCATCCTCATGTTGCTTGATCCCTGGGCAGGCTGGAAAGTTGAGATGGTAACATTTGGGATGTTTGTAAACACTAAAGGGACTAGGCTGGGAGTATGCCGTCCAATTTCCATCTAGGTCCTCACATTACCTTGTGTGACAGGAGACATTGTCCTATTTCCATCTAGATCCTGACATTACCTTGTGTGACAGGAGACATCGTCCAATTTCCATCTAGGTCCTGACATTACCTTGTGTGACAGGAGACATCGTCCTATTTCCATCTAGATCCTGACATTACCTTGTGTGATAGGAGACATCGTCCTATTTCCATCTAGATCCTGACATTACCTTGTGTGATAGGAGACATCGTCCTTTTTCCATCTAGGTCCTCACATTACCTTGTGTGACAGGAGACATCGTCCTATTTCCATCTAGGTCCTGACATTACCTTGTGTGACAGGAGACATCGTCCAATTTCCATCTAGGTCCTGACATTACCTTGTGTGATAGGAGACATCGTCCTATTTCCATCTAGGTCCTGACATTACCTTGTGTGACAGTAGACATCGTCCAATTTCCATCTAGGTCCTGACATTACCTTGTGTGACAGGAGACATCGTCCTATTTCCATCTAGGTCCTGACATTACCTTGTGTGACAGGAGACATCGTCCAATTTCCATCTAGGTCCTGACATTACCTTGTGTGACAGGAGACATCGTCCGATTTCCATCTAGGTCCTGACATTACCTTGTGTGACAGGAGAGATCCTCCTATTTCCATCTAGGTCCTGACATTACCTTGTGTGACAGGAGACATCGTCCAATTTCCATCTAGATCCTGACATTACCTTGTGTGACAGGAGACATCGTCCAATTTCCATCTAGGTCTTGACATTACCTTGTGTGACTGGAGACATCATTTTTGTGTAATTTGGGTAAACAATTCTGTTGATTAGCATACAAATACTGTGGGACCCGTGAAGATCTGGGTTAGAATAGGTCCTCAGCAAGCCATGCTTGCCGTAAGAGGCATCTATGCTTGTCTTAAGAGGTGACTAACGGGATCTGGTGGTCAGGCTTGCTGACTTGGTTAATGCATGTCATCGTATTCCATTTGCATGGATCGATGCTCATTATGTCGATCACTGGATTGTCAGGTCAAAACTCAATTATTTACGGACCGCCATCATGGGCGTTAATCAACAGGCAAACAAATAAACAAAAAACAAATACAGTGGTGTTTGAACCACATGAATCAAACTTGCTGGGAGTTAAGCCACCCTTAGCAATAGTCCTTGATGAATGTTTAACCTTGGAGAACAACTATAGAGTGAGTGAGTGGGCTTATGTCACGGCGTGTCAGTTTGTTTTGGGAGGAAAGCCTGAAGTGATGCAGGTCTTAGATGTTTACCACTTTGGTGAAACCAACGGGCCTGGGTATAGTGCTGAGAAGCCTAGAAACATAATCAGGGTGAATAGTACATGACCCCCCCACAAGCTTCACCTCTATGTCTCTGGTGCCCGTTTCAGTCAAGGTCAAGTTGTAAGTGAGTGAGTGAGTGAGTTGGGGTTAATGCCGCTTTTAACATTATTCCAGTTATATCACGGTGTGTCAGCTTAATGTGGGAGGAAAGCTCGAAGTAATGCACGTCTCAGACGTTTACCACTTCGGTGAAACCCACGAACAGGGGTATGGTGCTGACAAACCTAGAAACATAATCAGGGCGAACCGGGATTCGAACCCACAATCATAGGTTTCTGGCGTGCCCAAGGGACGCAACTCTGCACAGCGAATTGCGGCGCCTTAGACGACTGGGCCACCCGTACCCTCGGTCAAGTTGTAATTTGTGCCATCTGTTACATGAGACTTGGTCAAGGCCAAACCAAACCTCCATGACTTCATTTCTTGTGTTGTTCCTGTTTCTCGAAGTAAGTGTTAACCTATTGTTTTCAGGGTGAAGGTGCGTAATGGGCTTCTGATTCGAGATGCAGTGGTGAGTGAGAACAGCCCATGGAGTATATATGTCGAGATCAGTGACAGACAGCGATCTGCCACAGTTACAGCCTTCGTCAAGGACACTGAAAAGCTCAGCCAGAGGTCAAGGTAAGACAAATATATTCATGCCACTTTGGTCACCTCTCTTCCAGTCCACGTTGCTGAAAGTTCAATGTTTCCTGCAGAGACATTGAGTAGTCTTGTGGTCCATGCAAAGGCTAGCCATGTAGAAGGGGTGGAGTAGCCTTGTGGTCCAAGCAAAGGCTAGCCATGTAGAAGGGGTGGAGTAGCCTTGTGGTCCGAGCAATGACTAGCCATGTAGAAAGGGTGGAGTAGCCTTGTGGTCCAAGCAATGACTAGCCATGTAGAAGGGGTGGAGTAGCCTTGTGGCCAAACAACAGCTAGCCATGTAGAAGGGGTGGAGTAGCCTTGTGGTCCGAGCAATGGCTAGCCATGTAGAAGGGGTGGAGTAGCCTTGTGGTCCGAGCAATGACTAGCCATGTAGAAGGGGTGGAGTAGCCTTGTGGTCCGAGCAATGACTAGCCATGTAGAAGGGGTGGAGTAGCCTTGTGGTCCGAGCAATGACTAGCCATGTAGAAGGGGTGGAGTAGCCTTGTGGTCCGAGCAATGACTAGCCATGTAGAAGGGGTGGAGTAGCCTTGTGGCCAAGCAATGGCTAGCCATGTGGAAGGGGTGGAGTAGCCTTGTGGCCAAGCAATGACTAGCCATGTAGAAGGGGTGGAGTAGCCTTGTGGCCAAGCAATGGCTAGCCATGTAGAAGGGATGGAGTAGCCTTGTGGCCAAGCAACGGCTAGCCATGTGGAAGGGGTGGAGTAGCCTTGTGGCCAAGCAACGGCTAGCCATGTGGAAGGGGTGGAGTAGCCTTGTGGCCAAGCAATGACTAGCCATGTGGAAGGGGTGGAGTAGCCTTGTGGCCAAGCAACGGCTAGCCATGTGGAAGGGGTGGAGTAGCCTTGTGGCCAAGCAACGGCTAGCCATGTAGAAGGGGTGGAGTAGCCTTGTGGCCAAGCAACGGCTAGCCATGTGGAAGGGGTGGAGTAGCCTTGTGGCCAAGCAACGGCTAGCCATGTGGAAGGGGTGGAGTAGCCTTGTGGTCCGAGCAACGGCTAGCCATGTAGAAGGGGTGGAGTAGCCTTGTGGTCCGAGCAATGACTAGCCATGTAGAAGGGGTGGAGTAGCCTTGTGGTCCGAGCAATGACTAGCCATGTAGAAGGGGTGGAGTAGCCTTGTGGCCAAGCAATGACTAGCCATGTAGAAGGGGTGGAGTAGCCTTGTGGTCCAAGCAACGGCTAGCCATGTAGAAGGTGGAGTAGCCTTGTGGCCAAGCAATGACTAGCCATGTAGAAGGGGTGGAGTAGCCTTGTGGTCCGAGCAATGGCTAGCCATGTAGAAGGGGTGGAGTAGCCTTGTGGTCCGAGCAATGACTAGCCATGTAGAAGGGGTGGAGTAGCCTTGTGGTCCAAGCAATGACTAGCCATGTAGAAGGGGTGGAGTAGCCTTGTGGTCCAAGCAACGGCTAGCCATGTAGAAGGTGGAGTAGCCTTGTGGCCAAGCAATGGCTAGTCATGTAGAAGGTGGAGTAGCCTTGTGGTCCAAGCAATGACTTGCCATGTAGAAGGGGTGGAGTAGCCTTGTGGTCCGAGCAATGACTAGCCATGTAGAAGGGGTGGAGTAGCTTTGTGGTCCGAGCAATGACTAGCCATGTAGAAGGGGTGGAGTAGCCTTGTGGCCAAGCAACGGCTAGCCATGTAGAAGGTGGAGTAGCCTTGTGGCCAAGCAATGGCTAGCCATGTAGAAGGGTTGGAATAGCCTTGTGGCCAAGCAACGGCTAGCCATGTAGAAGGTGGAGTAGCCTTGTGGCCAAGCAATGACTTGCCATGTAGAAGGGGTGGAGCAGCCTTGTGGTCCGAGCAACGGCTAGCCATGTAGAAGGGGTGGAGTAGCCTTGTGGTCCGAGCAACGGCTAGCCATGTAGAAGGTGGAGTAGCCTTGTGGCCAAGCAATGACTTGCCATGTAGAAGGGGTGGAGCAGCCTTGTGGCCAAGCAATGGCTAGCCATGTAGAAGGGGTGGAGTAGCCTTGTGGCCAAGCAATGACTTGCCATGTAGAAGGGGTGGAGTAGCCTTGTGGCCAAGCAATGGCTAGCCATGTAGAAGGTGTGGAGTAGCTTTGTGGCCAAGCAATGGCTAGCCATGTAGAAGGGGTGGAGTAGCCTTGTGGCCAAGCAATGGCTAGCCATGTAGAAGGGGTGGAGTAGCCTTGTGGCCAAGCAATGGCTAGCCATGTAGAAGGGGTGGAGTAGCCTTGTGGCCAAGCAATGACTAGCCATGTAGAAGGGGTGGAGTAGCCTTGTGGCCAAGCAATGGCTGTGCTAGGTTTGATACCCCAAATATAATGTATAAAGCCCATTCTTGGTGTTGCCGCTGTTACATGAAGGGAACAGCATCAGTGGATGTGGAAAATGCACTCATTTGTTTCTTGCAGACCAGACTGCATCCTGTTCATTGTTGCATTGTACGAGGCTGCGAAACAGGGAGTTGCATGGAAGCATAACACCCAACTCTCTCACTCATGAAAGTCTGTGACTAGAATAGGTTATGATACTGAGCCAGATGTTAGATTCTCCAGATGAGAAGCTCAAGAACAACACCGCATGTACAGCCTTTCAAGGAAGCAAAAACATGGATAATGACCAACACTCATTCTATACATGTAGAATTCCTTTATCAAATCTTAGCAAAATACAACTGATGCTTAACACATGGACAGACAATTCCTTCATTTCTGACCAAAACCTGTCTTGGATCTGCAAGGAAATGTAAACATGGCAGAATTTTCGTTTTCTGATGCTTTACTAATGTACACATTCCATCAGAACACTGGCAACCAGCTGTTTTACTGGCGGACATATTGGCTGCCATCTTTCTTACCATCTTCCTTACCATCTCAAAGACATGTTTTCAATCACAACCCGGGGGAACTCTCTGTGTGAAGGATAATATGATATCAGGTTAAACTTGATTATGTAGTAAACATGAAACCAATATTTGTCTGGGGCAGGCCTGTTTTGCTTAATGCCACTTTACAGTACAACCTCCATGTGCTGGAAACTGACAGGCCTCACTTTGAAACTTAGCACTTCCTGGTGTAATTTTATCGCCATGGCACACCCATAGTGTCATGCATTTGGTTTGATGAATAGGCCAACTGTTGTTACAATGTCTTATTTTTTGCCAGTATATATTCTTGTTGATTGTGGATGATCCTAATTTATACAATGGAAAATTTTCCATTTGGTTTGATGAATAGACCAACTGTTGTTACAATGTCTTTATTTTTGCCATTATATATTCTTGTTGATTGTGGATGATCCTAAATTATACAATGGAAAATGTGAGTAAAAAGTAAAAAAGTAAAATGGTGTAAATATTATAATTTGCTTGAACATCATTTTGTTTCGATTTATGATAATCCTCTTTTATCAAATACTCTCCTGTACAATTTGATCCTAGAAAGTCATGAATCTTTGAAAGTCACACATCTCATTAAGTATTGTCAAATATTCATTTTTGACGCAGATATGCATTCTTCTAATATATGAAATACTATCTATGCTCTTCAAATCATGATCCGTTGAGGCAATTCATGACACCCATAACAAAAAAATTACCAAACACTATCAAATATACTACTCAAAAGAAGTTAAGGACCACCCGATTCATTCATACTACTATAGTTAATCGGTCATGGCAAAATATTCTTACTCATCAGTGTTTTGTCCAAGTGGCTTCAAACTGGCTCAGTGTTACCTACAGTAATGTGAAAGTTTCGGGTTGTCCTTAACTTGTTTTGAGTAGCATATGTAACCTGTGATGCTGAACTTGCTGACAAGGTAAAATTCAATGTAGATGTCTGGCGATAACTGAGAACACTGACTGGCGCAGTGCAATCGACTGTATCATGTATCGATATAATGCTGCTGCCTTCGCATTCAGTCTTTGATTGATAACATGTTGATTGAATACCTGTGTTTGATTGAAATGCACTGGAGAACAAAGGGGTCCACCTGTACCGTAACGAGTTTTCAGGTGCAACAACAATGGGTTCCAGCAGGCAAGGATTCTTTTCTAGTCGTCCATGTTTCATTGGGGCCATTCAATATGGCCGAAAACGAGATCCATTGTTGCTGCCTAACTTGGGACATGTTGTGATCAGTCAGCGGAATTAGAGACGAAAAAATTAGTAACAGTGTGTGCATTGAGTGAAAATCATTTTTGTATCTTTTCTTTGCCTTTACGAAAAGAATTGTTATTGTCAACATGTATTATTTTCATCATTCAGTTATGAATCCAACAGATTAGTAGTTAAAAGGCAGTGGACCAATTAGCATGAATTACGTCATTATGCAGTGGGTTAACTCTGGTCTGTTTTGTTCGGAAGATGAAGGACCCATAACAGCGTAATATTTGAATCATCTTTGGAGTGAGTGAGTGAGTGAGTTGGATTTAACGCTTTTAACAGTATTACAGTTATATCGCGGCGTGTCAGCTTCATGTGGGAGGAAAGCCCGAAGTGATGCAGATCTCGGACATTTACCACTTCGGTGAAACCCACGAGAACGTGTATCGTGCTGACAAACCTAGAAACATAATCGGGGCGAACCGGGATTCGAACCCACAATGATAGGTTTCAGGCATGCCCAAGGGACGCAATTCTGCACAGCAAATCGCGGCGCCTTAGACGACTGGGCCACCCGTGCCCCCAATCATCTTTGGAGTTTCCTGATGTTGATAAATGAGTGTGTTTTCACACATTGATATTAACTAGTTTTAAAATTGCTTTTTCTTTCTAATAAGACATTTTAAAAATATTTTTGTTGGTGTGCCCGTCGCCTTTGATACTGAAGATATATCTGTTTGTGGTGAAATTACATGAGAACACAAAGTTTTTCTGATTTTGTGATCCGCTACTGTGTATTGCAATTAATCATGAGTTTCATTTAAATCCAAAATGAGAATTCGGGGAAGAAATATTTTATATTAAAAAATATGTAAAAAATTTGCGAGGAATGTACCAGACAATTTTCT